CAAGGGTCCCAACATTATGGAGGATGGGGAGGGAACGAACAAGAGAGAAAGCGAGAGAGAGAAATTTTGCAAATTATTTTGTCTTGGCCAGTGCAGTTAGAAGGCGGTGGCCATGGATTCGTTTTCCCCAGGTCTCTAAGTCACAAGTGCAAACGTGGTGATGTAGATTTTTGCATCCTTGAGTACTGATTTTTCCTTCCCTTTGACCTCCCTTTAATGAAAGTTGATTAGGATCATTATCAGTAAATGTTCTGAAAAGTATTTCATATGGCCATTTCTGTGGTCTACCAGTGGAAAGAAAATAGAAAAGAAATAAACAATGACTTAAGGATCTTATAAATTTATCTTAAAGAATACGTAAGGAGAGATTTCTTGATGGAAACTCTTTCTTAAAACCTACATGAGCACTGGCAAAAATATACTACACAGAACTGTATTTCAGCAAGAGGCTCATTTAATATAACTGCAATAGCCCAAATATTTGCTCAGAAGAGAAAATGTTACAGCAAAACACATATACACCCTCCCTGCCATAAGAAATGTTTCCATTATTGAAACCAAACTAAATATACTTATCCTCAAAGAGAAAATGGAGAGAAAAGATTTGAAAGCAAAGCAAGGAATAGGGATGCACAACAGAGAGTCATCCTAAAACTATCTTAAAAACAAATATTCTGCCACTTTCCTGCAAATATGCCAAGGAAAATATGTGAAACAATATGAATTCTCTTCTAAATGTTGCATAATGTATACATTTACGTTAAAAATATCTCTGCAATTTTTCTGTTTTCCAAATTTATTGGTAACTTTTCTCTGCAGGTTTTACCTAACAACAACTTATTTCATAATTAAGCAGACGGGAATGAAATTGTACTAGCTGTCTTTACCACCCTCTTTATTCAACACTCAAGACAGAGGTGTTTAAAGGAAACTTGCTCCTCCTTCAACTTCCCCATCCCCTTGGCCTTCACATCCACCTGCATGAGTGTGTACCAATAAGCAATGTTCCAAACACAATGAACCCATTTCCTTCTGAAAGATGTGAGCAGATGGTGTATTTACGATTATGATATAGCATTAATGAGGACTTTTAAGACATGAAAGTCAGCACAACATTAAATAGATAAGCCAGATCAAAAAGAAATGGAAATTTTGTTTCTCAAAAAGTGTACTGCTTTTCTAGAACACCTACCACTGTTCAGTTTTACTTTAGAGATCTATCATTCAATTCTTAATTTCTTACAGCAAGCAGGTCATTTCCCTAAGATTGTGGTTGTGTACATTGTTCAATTCTACTGGAGAATATGCAAAGATTTTGAAATCTTTAGGCTTGTGTACTCCTTTGCCAATGCTCTGTCTACAGATGTAAATTTTTATATTTCTTGTATAGTTTTCTTGCTTGAGGGGCAAAATGCTTGGTGAAACTATTTTATGTGTGGACATGGGGCAAAACCAACATGTTTAGAGTTGGTTTTTGGCTCCTGTTTGCCAGAAGTTTTGTATTTAGCATTTGATATAATCCAATGGAAATTTTACGTGAGTGGAAGAAGGAAGAACCTGGAGGATAGCCAACTTCTTTATCTTCTACCCACCCACAAACATGCACACAATAATTACAAAACAACAGGCTGGTGCTGGCAGAACCTGATGGATATCTGGTGAACCTTGGGTCAACTGTGAGGGATATGAAGGCAAGTCTTAGCATCATTCTCACTCTTGCAGCAGGGCAATCTCATAGGAAGAAACAGACTTAAATGTAACTAACTATAGGATATCACTTATTATATGACAGAGTAATGTTTTTAACACATAAGGTAGATCATGCTGTTCCTCTGCTTGAAATTCTCTACTGGTTCCTGACTTCACTCCCCGTAAAAAATGGAATCCTACCAATGACTGCGGGGTTTCCCATCACCTCACAACTCCTGCAGCCCACTGTAGCCACCCTGGCATACTTGCTGCCCTGTCAGCATGCCAGGCTGCCCCATCCCGGGGCCACTGCATTTGCTGTGCAGAGGGAGCCATGTAGCTTCCTTCCTCTTCTCCATGTCTTTGCCCAAACATCTCCTCGAGGTCCCTATCATGCTGCATTCCCCCATGCACTTTGGATCTTGCTTACCCTAGTCTGTATCCATTTCCTTCCCATAGAAACCACCACTTTCTAATATACTGTGCAATTTACTTATTTGCTGGGCTGATTTTCTGAGTCTCCATCCCTGCTGCTAGAATAGAAGTTCCTTGAGGATTGGGATCGTGTCTACTTTCTTTACTTCTCCATCCCATGCACATAGACTTATGGCATCAATTGGCACATGATAAACGTCTTGAACACATCAAAGAATAACCTGGAAACACAAAGGTGAAGGTTGACCCCGAAGAAGAAGGGGTCTGTGGAGGGGTGACCTACACAACTTGTTTAGAGGCTCGGGCAGGAGCTTGCAGCATAGCTGAGCAGAGTGCTGGCAGTGGGGAAAGGATATCTATAAGTTAGCTCAGGTCACTTTTTAGAATGGCCTTGAAGTCCCAATGGGAAGGGTAGTCCACTCTCTCTCCTGTGGACCAGCTCCATGAATCATCCAAAGTCTCAGAAGAATGATGTTAAAGAATTTTAGCTGGAGTGATGTCAGAGAACAAATATTTTATGGCAATATGGGTGGCTTACAGCTTGACTTTTGGGTTGATGAGCTGGGGCAATGCAGGTTACACACATATCATCAGGGCCTGTTGTAGATCCTGGTGATGATCACTGAATAAGCATTTATTATGCTGAATAGAGATTTTTAAATACTGAAATTAGAATCTTTGAGCATGTATAATACTCCTTTGAAATTACATTTAAATTTATGAACCAGATAAAAAGATCATTGCTTTGCTTTAGAATTACATAGTTTTTTAGACAAAAAAATAGAATATTTTTGTTTTGACTGATTATTGACCATACTCACTTGGCCTGACATCTGTTAGCCATAGTTTGAATTATATTAAGCCTTGTAGCAATTTATTGTTACAGGATATTGTAAAAATTAACCTAGGCTTGAAGGAGTAAGATTTAACACTGATCAGAATTTTGAAAAGAAAACTATCGCACCACTCAAATACAGGGATCTGAACAATAGTGTCATTATTGGAATGGAATGTGGCCTCCCTTCTCTCAAGGCTATAACACTAAAAGCAGAGTGAAAACGCTGGCTTATTTGTTGAACGTTTCTCTGACATTACATTGAAGTCACAGGCGCTACAGAATATTCAATAGACATGTCTTTCATACTTCAGCACACAGCTAAAGTAAATTATAGTAGCAATATCTACCACTGAGCTAAATAAATGAGATATTCCACAATGGTTTCCCTTCTGTTAGTGGAGTGAATTAGAACATTTCAACTCCTGGTTTGATTATTCAGACTTGTGCATTCTACCCACTGCCACGGAAGTGAGTCTACCAGTAACATTTGCCTCAAACTTAAGTTATATCTTTGAACATTTACATTTATCGATGTCTTCAAACTATAACTCTGATGACTTCAGATACAGAGCTTTGATGTCTTTAAGACTTAGTAACCCTTTCTGATTAAACTTTAAAGCAACTTTGAATGTGGGTGGAGGGACAGGCCCTTTATCTCAGTGGAATGTTTTATCAGTTCCTCTCACCCACATTCCTATCATTCAGCAGTGTGAGAAGGTAAAACTTACAAAGCCACTGATGAACAAGGATGTTTCTTGAAGAAGGTAATCATATTTTAAAAATTGTTTCTGGCACAAAATTTAACGTTAGTAGTGGAAATCCAAATAAACTTTCAGCTCCTGCTTCAATAATGTGAATGTCACATAAATGAGCACGTAGTAATGCCTGCACTAGGCTGTTAACCCTCTTTGCCTCTCACCTCTGCATTCATTTCTTGAAGCCATGTGGCCTGCCAGGTGCTTTTGATACAAAGATTAAAAAAGTCCTGTCCTCAAGTAGCTTTCAGTTTAGTTAGTGAAATGCACGGATGGATGACATCAATAAATTGGTAAAAGAGATGGGTTCAGGGATCACAGAGCCAGTGGTGCATAATGAGCATTTCAGAGGAAGGGTTCCTAGAAGAGACAGTGCCCAATAAATGCAAAAGGGCTGAAACTAACTTTGTCAGCTGAAAACGGTGTGGGGCTTTCAGTTCTTCACTCCAGAAGCAAAAGCACAGAAATTAAAAGGGCTTATGTTGTTGAAAATAAGCTTAAAACAAGATAGCCTTCCAATAAATCAACTCTGGTGGGATGATCAAAATTATACTCTGGTGGGTACCTCAAAATTATAAAAACTAAAATATTAGCATGCTCTCTCTCCTCTCTTCTATATAACACCATTTACATCTTTCTTGAAAAAAAATTATTTCCAGATAGGTAGTGGCTTCTTTTTACCAAGAGTTGGTTTTAACTGCAGCTAATGTATTTGTGCAGTGAAACTGTAAGATCAAGCACATGCCTTAAAGAAACAATTGAGAGCACATTTAAAAATCCGACTTCACAAAATGTAGCTATGCCTAAACTCATCACAATTATTTTCCAAACAGTTCTGTTTACCTGATTACACATTTACAGTATGTTTCTTTATATTTATATCAAAAACCCAAAGAGGAATCCCATGCTTTTTTTTAGGAGACACAATACTCTATTTTTTTCCGAGTACACTCACAAACTCAGAATGTATATCAATTGATATCACATATAGACATAGAGGGAGTAACTAGATGGACACTGACATAGTCACACAGGGAAACACATATGAGACAGGTACAGCTGAACAACACATAGATATTTCTAAAGAAAATGTTTGTAACTTAGCATTACTCTATAATTGTACTTTATTATTTCTTTCCTTCATTCACAGCACCAAAGGGCATTTCCCTCAAGTTGAGGAACACACAGACAAAAAGGCAGGCTGGGCCTCCACATCCACTGCATGCCCGTTCCCCACCTGTCCCCTTGGAGTCCACTGACACCAAACAGCACCGGGTACCTACCTGGCTGAAGCTCTGGCCCGCAGCTCGGGCTTGTGTGCCTCGGGCCGGGAGCTGTGAAGGGGTGCTTTCCCCCAGGGCCAGGGTCTGGTTGCTATGGTAGCTGGCCGGATACTGGAAAGACCCTTCAGGTTTGGAATTGAGCTGAAGTGCACTCTGGGAGAGCAGGCTGGGCCCTGCATTGAAAGTCATTTAGAACAGTCAGTGACAGTCTCAGTGAAGCAGAAATGACATGTATTATTTATTGAGAGTAGCCTAGAATTATCACATGCACATGATTCCAGCCATCCACGCTTAAAATTCTGAGAACTAAAATGACCATATAATTTGACTCCAGCTCTCAAATGAGATTTTTTTTTTTTTTTTTGGTGGTGGTTTAAAAGTTCTCAAAGGAGTAGATTTTTCAAATGATCTCATCCTGACCTACATAGAGACATTTCTCATGAGACAAATCAGTTAATCAAGTAGTTATTTTGGGATCAGACAATATCAGAAACATTTGAAATAATGTAAAACTCTACTTTTCGGTACCTGTTAATTTCGCTGATGTAATTATATCTCCTACTTAATGATTGAGATGCTAAAACACTCGAAACCTTCCAATCACTGACAAATTCTATTGTATAAATAGTGATATAATACCTCAGTGCCTGAAGGGTAGACAGTGTTTAAAATATTAATAGCTCTTTGTACAATGTGGAATTCACCGTCGCCTCACATAATCCCTGATGACTGGTTACCTTTACCATCACAGCAGTGCACAGTAGGAGAACAAAGAGTACATACAGTGTCCAAATTCGTGCCACAAATATAGCTGATATTACAAGGGATGAAGAATCAGTTTCTGGTCTTATTTAATTAAACATTGCATATGAAATTGTGTTTTGTTTTCTTATATTCTATTTGGATGAGATCCTTGCATTTTCCCATTTTCTTTTCAGCAAATTTTCTTTGAACAAATTTAACACTCTCTTTGGGGATCAAATAACTATGGAGGAGAGTAAATGTGCTTGCTGTTTTCTATTGTGTGTGTTTGAGAGTGGCTGGGGTAAGAAGAGTGTATTAGTGGCAAAAACTTGGCAAAACAAGTTTTCTCCTGTTTCTTTGCACCATAGTACAAAGTCACATATTCGAATGTAATAATACACATCTAGACTATAGCATAACCATTAAATCATTCTTGATCCCCCTCTTTGGCTGTTTTAGACAATAGTATCACTTCTGATAAGTATGAGCAGATTACAAGTTCCTTATTTTTTTCTTTTTAAGAATGGAACATGACTTTATATTTTGAGTGAGACATGATGTGGATCACCTTTCATAAAAATAATGCATCCTCTTTTAAATAACATTGGTTCATAAAATCTTTGGCACTTAAAGCCTTCCCAATCCCTCTGATTTTCTGACAGAACTTTGAAACAACATCAAGATATTTTTTCATCAGTATTTGAAACAACATGAAGAGAAATTTTCATCAATATTTTATATTGAATAATATGCCAATTAACTAGTACAGTTATTTTGGAATCTATGCAGTTTCTAGAAAAAAGGTAACCAAGGAAATAAAAGTATTTTCATCCACCCACAACTTCATCATGAAGAGTATAACAAAAGTACAATTGCAATCCTTTTACTTTTAAGAAACCCAGTCCTGAGAAAACAGTATGTACCAGATGGTGACGTTTCCAATAGCCTGGAAAAAAAATCATTTATTCCATCCTAATGGTATTAAATCACTGAATATAAGGAAGTCTCTGAGGGGAGATGCATTTAGAGTTTGATTCTGGGCGTCAGTAACATATGGTCCCCATCACTGCTATGGAAGCTGCCAGGCCCAGCAGAGTCAAAGAATAATGTCTGAGGTCCAAGTGACAGGCAGACTGAGATATGGGAGAGCCTCTGGAGGTTGGGCAAGTGGAGACTAACCGTAAAGTGGAGGAGAAGGAGGTGGGCACTGGGAAGGCAATGACAACTGTGGCTAAGGGCTTTACCCTTGGTCCCTCCGAAGGTCACATCTTAATGGTGGGAGTAAGCTATGGTGGAAAAGAAAAGGCCCTTTCAGCTGGGTGGTCACCATTCTATCTGACAATGGGGGGCTGCCCGCTGAGCCTTTCTTGGCTGTTTCTTTTTTGTACAGTCTACCTGGGCATAATGGTTTGCACTGGCTATACTCTCCTCCCCCTTGAGATAGTAATGCATCCTAAAGCTAAAAGAAGGTTACAGCAGATACGACAGCGCACAGACCTTTGGAAATATCAAAAGAATGAAGTAAATACAATAAACACATAAACAAAATATTTAATTTCATGGAAGTAGTTTAGCATTATCTTAAAACAGATAGTTGCATTCCTTATTATTTGTCCTTCAAAGAGAATGCGGGAATTGCTCTTACGAACTTTTTTGAATATGTAGTTAGCAAGTTAAATAACTTTGTATATTCTGAACAGACTCATACAATTATCTCCAGAAACCTACAAACGCTGTCTATATAGGATCTTCTAATGACAATGTAAAGTCCCTTTTCAAAAGAATTTCAATTAAAAATATGGTTTACTTGCTCCCAGAATATATATGATAGAATAATGAAATCTATTCACCTTTTATAGAATCAGTTGTGTATTTGATCAGTACTCAATGAAAACTAACCAGGATTTTCTATCTCATTACTGTATTCATACATCTCAAGCACTGAAACCTAGATGTACTCTGACAAAAGTAATTGCAACAATGAGCAAAGTATCAGAATATTACAACACTGACATAGCACCTGGCAAGGACAGAACAGTCAAGACAATAACCAAAACTGTGTACGCATTTTAGAATGATGTTTTTCCACTGCTCACTAGGTTTTAAGTCAGTCTCATTTATTCATTCCAATTTTGGAGAGCACAGACATATGAATATACGAAACTGGTGAAAATTTTAGGACAATTCTTAATTACTTTATAATGAAAGTACAATTTAAATGTAACTAACTTTCGATTAGCTTTATTAATATTACTGTGCAATGAGGTAGAAAATACAAATTTGCTGAGGATTTAAAAAGCATTTATAGTTTTGGGCTTTAAATTATGACTTATTTTTTCTCCGGAACTTTTGACTTTATATCAAGCCTTGCTTGGGCTAGAGGTAAAATGAGGCTGTGGTCCTGAACCTATGGAATCTATGACCTGAAGGACACAGGTAATATGGAAAGAAATGGTAGAGGAAGAGAAAGAAGCTGGGCCCTAACATTTCACCCAGGGAAATTGCATCTTTAATGCAATACATTAAATTGCATGCTTTAGCAGAACATCTGCTTCAAAAATGGCATCTTTAATACAATGATTTCCAGAAGACATCTGAACGGTGGGCGGCAGTGGATCATCACGTCCTTCTTGGCCACAGAGAGCGGAAGCCATGCTCCCGTTTGCCTTCAAGACACTGACCTGAGGGGTCACAGTGGTTTCTTTGACCATTCTGACCCTTCTCCGTGATGGAACAGTCCTCAGAACTCAGCCCAAGGGTTTTCCCAAAATGAATCACCCCGTGAGCCAGAAAGAGAAGGTGAAACCATTTCCTGATAAACTGATAAGGCTTAAGACAGTTTTCTGTCTTTGTTCTGAACAAAACCCACTAGTCTTAACTGGAGAGAGAGAAGAAATTCCAAGGCAACTACAAAGTTGATCCCATTAACTCTAAGAAGATATATGAAGCAAGGATCTTTAGTGTAACACCAGTGTCTCAATATGTTTTCACATGTATGAATTGGTTAGAGACTACACAGCAACCTGTGGAAAAAAAAAAAACTGCATGATCTTCATTTTTGTCCTAGAAGTACAAGCAGAGGCAGAGAGAGGTTAAATTGTTAGCCAGCGTCACCCATATGGTAACATGAAGAGGCTTGGATCTTTATCTTCTGTCTCCAAGTCCAAAAGTTGCTGTTGTTTAACATCAAAGCACTGTTTCTTTAAGTCATATATACATATCAGCAGTTTAAGGTTGAAAAAGTCCTGTGTAAACAGAAGTCCACTTGTTTCCAGGAGAAAGCTTCATGCCTCAGATTTTGTTGCTTCTCCAGTGAATTGCTGCTTACAGATTCCAGGTGCTGGCTACAGGAAACTCGCTGTCCACTACTCGTGGGACAAAATCAATCTCAGAAGATATAGAGGTTGAAATGTTACTTTTCTGCATAAAAACTCAGACCCACTTACAGGTCATATCAACACAGACATATATAACACAGACACAATATGGCCAGCTTCTTCTGATCAGATTAACTGAGTATTTTAGAGTTTCCATGATTATGTGCACTTGTTCTGTTTGCATGGTGTTAAAGAGACTTTATGTGGAATTGCTAATATTGGCCTGCTTTAGCTGAACATCTGCTTCAGAATACAGTAGACCTTCAATTAAAGAATATACTTTGTAATAATACAGAAGAGGCCAGAGGTCTACAATATGGCATTCCCGAGTTATTCTATAAGTCACAAACACACTAATGGAGTATCTGAACGTGTGTTGAAAAAATTCCAGGACTGGACGTCCACAGACCTGGGCCCTAGCCCATCTTCATATTTATTTGACCACAGATGATGATGACAAAGATGATGATGACAGTGACAGTAATGACCAGTTAACCTTTTTTGAGTATTTAGGAAGCTCCAAGGATTATCCTGAGCAGTTTCCATCTACTAACCCATTGAATTTTAATGACATCTAAACGAGGAAGGTACAACCATTTCCACTGATGTTGAGGGAACTGAGGGATCCATTAACTGAGCCCTCACAGTTACTGGTGGGCCTGGGGTTAAAACAAAATAGCAGATTGGCTTCAGAATGTGTGTTCTTAAACACACTTCAGGATTCTGTCACGACAAATTTTAATCTTTCCAAATTTGAACACCTAAGCAGATAATGGATGTGCAAGTGCTTGGAAAAATTTTAACTGCTATACAAATATCAGTTATTCTTATCTGATTATCTAATTGCATAGCCACATGGTCTGATAATAATAAAACCTTCCATGGGATTTTTTTGGTCTTGAAAATCTTATTGCAGGACTGTCCCACACATCATTTATGTTTTCGTTCAACAACCTGCAAGCTTTCATCTTACAAACAAGACATACATGGCACAGTTCATTAAAATGGCCTGTATGCAATAAAACAGCAACAACAACAAAACTAGTATCAGA